TCTCTAAGTCTTTCTCATTTCTAACAACGAAGTTAAAACCAATTTATTGCTTATTTCACGTCTTACTATTACGACTTTACTTTCTAACCTTAATAAATTTGACCTTAACCTGCTCTAGTTTTGCAGTAATAAATGTTTCTAATGATGACTGGATTTCATTTCAATAGTGAATTATTTCATTCTGTGCTTTAACTCGCACCTATTTTTCTCTTCACCGCTTTTACGAATGAATTATATTCCAGTTAATCATCAAAGTATGAAGATAACTTTATATAAATAGGCGTTTTTAGCTTGTAAGAAGTAGTGTTAATAGCAGTAGAATGCATATGGTCTTGATTTACTACTAATATTCGTGCACTAATACTGTTGATGTTAGGTTCTATCAAGTTATAGATCAACACTTATGTTTGGATCAGTTCACTGACAACTTCTGCCTAGAAACGTAATATCTCCTGGTATTAGATGGTTGGAGGCGATCGTCAGGATACCTTAGATTTACACCAAAGAAAAGACTAGACATATAACACTAGTTACAAACTACTTTTCAAGGAAATTTAATGTCTCAATCTTCACTCTGAGCATGTATAAACTTGAAAGGTAATTTGATCCACATCTGTTTGAAAGGAGACAGAATTACTAGTGTCAGTTTAAATTTTGCTTCAAAGAAGAAACTTCCAACTAAGGAAAAGCTTACAAACAATTTTATCCAGTTACAGATTTTAGGAATAAGAAATATCCAAAATGAAATCATCGGCTTGATTTCACTAACTATTGATTTAAATGACTTCCAAGAAGATGTGTTTCAAGTAAGTGTTGATCTGAAACAACTGATATTTATTATACTGTTATGAATGGTGACTGGCATCTATTTTTCAGTGTGCAATGTGAAAGATGCTTTTGAATAACCAGTCGATTTGAATGCATCTGAATGTTTAGCATTTGATGCGGCATATAACTACTGTATCAACTATCTTGGTTGTATTTTCCAAATGTCCAGGTGGACAGGTGTTGAATCATTTCTCTTACACGCATTTGCAGTTGTTTCGATAAATAAAATTTCCGTCGTCAATCTTTCTCTCTACACCCTGTTATATTAGGTTTTGAGAGTGTCATCTTATTCCATTATATTGTATGGTTGTATGCAATTGTGTGTAGTGCTACTTCAGAGATATTTTCTAGATTTCTTATCTTGTTAAGGTCAACTAATCTAGATTTTGCTAGGTTTTTATGCTCCACTAGTCTGACTGACTCTGTTTTACTGTTTTGACCTATGTATTTGACCTGACAACCATCTCAAACAGGTTATTAGATAAATTAAATTATTTTGTTTTATGGGCTCTACAGTTCCCTTTAGCCGACATAATTCAACACCTTAGTTCTAACTCATGAAATCAGTCGTTCAGTGTATTATATTAGTTGTGTAACTTTGAAAATTTCAATTTGCTTTTTTCAGCTGGATTCAAACTACACAGAAATACTGATCCTGAGGTCTAGATTATCAGTCTGATCAGCAACAAACTATTGAGAATAATGTTCGATTTAAAATTCCCGCAATTTCAAAAAGACGGAATTAGAAATGGGTTGGAAAATAAAGAAAAATGATGTTCGAGCTTCTTAGGCCATTTTGTCACACAATTTTGAAAATAGTGGTCGCCTCTCATGAGATTTCTTGAATTGCGTGAAACAGGTGGCCTATCTGAAACCAGGGCTACCAAAATGCTCCATTATTGCATTGAATATGCTTCCTCTTATTCAGTTTGTTTAATCTATTAAAATATGACCTCTAATGGTGTCTTTTATTCTCACGAGTATTACAGATATCTGTAACCTACTGATTCGTAAGTTTCTACTAAACTTGAGAAAAAGCGAAATCGTGGTTCCCAGCGTATCTCAGTATATGAGAAAACTATCCGTGAGATTTTTAACATAAACTGCCACTTTTTTTGATTGCACACTAGTCAGTAACTAGTGCAATGTATCTAGTCCTATCTTCGGTGCAGACTTAATTCTATCAGTCATGTTTGCAATGTGGCCACCATGCTAGGTGGCTCGAAACCTAGGTCCAAGGCTTCCTGCCGATTGCCTCCAACCATCTAATACCAACAATAAACTGCCACTGCCTGAGAAATAAAACTGATTAAGTGCAGTCTCCAATTATTTGGTTATTATTAAGTCCTTCGGTGAAAAAAATGTACTCTTGAACCTGTTTTAATTGGCTTTCAACCAAATACTCATCATTTCCCAAAGGATGCGAAGAAGGTATATCATAAGGGATTGTTTTCCGCTTCAGGTCAGGCAGAGATGTATCAGGTGATTTACTGTCAGCTGCCACTTTATTCGAATATCCTAGACAAAGAGAAACTGTAATGCAATAACTTCTGCTGAAAATTCTATACATTAGGGAGACACTTTTCAAAATAAACTGTTTGCTAGGTGAGTGTGCGAACTCTATGCACAATTTTTGAATTATTTCACCTGAAAATTTAGAAATAATTTGACGCCTAGTTAAATGACATTCAGCAAGTAAACCGTTTTATCAGTTATCAAGAGAGTGATAGAACGACCTTGGATTTCAATATTACGCTGTACTTCTAATAGTCAGTTAAGACAAACAATGTTGGTTTGAGTTAATATATGAGATTATTTAGTAATTCATTTTTAATTATGTTGTATGACTGAAATACACACGTCATTCTTTTATTTTTTGCATTCCTTTGAGTTCCGATTGAGACATACTGCTTGAATTCGTGAGATTTCAGTAGCAGAGTTATTCTTATTACAGGGTGTGGTTGGCTATCTCACCCCCATCTTCATGTTTCTCTCCGCTTTATACTAGGCAGTAAACTAAACGATGTTTGAGAGTACTACGGCCGCAAATCAAACGCTAGACCACGGAAGTGGTTGGAGAAAATTCTAACATAAAACCTCCCAACAGAAGAGGAGTAGAATTATCAAAATCCTGGTTTTTAAGCTTGCATACTGTCGTAGTAACATATAAACTTTAATTGGGATTCGACCTTATGGTTCTATAAACATAAAGTGTTCTCATTTTTCATGATTACTAGCTGTATGAAGATATTACGTAATGTCTTAAGAATTTCTTCTTAAACACATTAAAGTTTTTTTATTTTAAAGGCTTTATTAGTTAAAGAAAAATTTATATGGAGAAAGATATCAGTTAATTTAACAAAAAGACTGCTGAACACCAGCAAATTTACTTTATGTTGGTGTAATGATACTTCGCAGCTCCAAGAATCTTAATTTACACAACAGTAACAAGATAAAATAGTTCAGCTATGGAGTGAAAACTTCAAACAACTCTTCCCAATAGGGAACCTTAACAAAGCAAAAACGAAAACGGTATCAGGATAATATAAGCTCATTCTTTATTATTTCGAGGTTTCTTTTAGGTCGGCTACATCTTGAACAATATGAAAAATGCGTTGGAACATACTTTTCACTCAATGAGGAGAAGTAATTATTGGCAGCTATAAGTGATATACTTCCGGAATGATGTACATTGTTAAGTTATTAAGAGTTAAACACACTGAGTTCAAAAAACTTAGAGAAGAAACATAGTTTCTCTTGTTACGTAGCCTGTTGTTTTGATAAATGGTTAAAGTTTGTTTCTATCCATGAATTTTTGAACTCTGTCCTTTCATTTCAAGAATATTCGTCTAATTACCCTATAAATACTCAATCCTGTTAACTTTGAATAATTTAACAATATATGTCATTCCAGACATATTGATATAAGAATAGAACTTCTGCACTGTAGCACAATATAATTCCATTGTGAGTTAAATATATTTTGATAAAGTCTCACAGTGTTAAACAGTAATATTTACTGATAACTTTCCGAACACAATTTATTGCTCATAATCATTTCAGGGTACTCACACAACTTTCTTGTCATTTGACTTGATTGTTAGTAGTATTTTCCATATTTACAGTCGGGGTGACGAGTCCTTCCTATTGAATGTGTTGGGTGCAGACTCGATGAACAAGGATTCAGTAATTAATTTCTCTCTCCACCTACCTATATTACTTTTTGGAATTATGACTCTATTCTTCAATATTGTGTGGTTGTGTGTTAATTCATGCAATACAATTACTGAGCTTTAGTATTAAGAATCCTTCGTAGGATTCTTAATGAAGCAGGAATTAGAATGGCATCAAAAGCCATAAACTCACTCAGGTAGGACAAGCTCTGTTGGTTAACGGACCTTGTCAGTTGACCCAATTAGACAAAATAATATAATTTACAAAATACCTTGCAATGACTGTGAGTTAAGTCAACTACACAGGTCAAACTAGTATATGGGAGGGGGTAGTGAGATTATACTAAAATAAGAATTTAGCTAAGGCTAGAATGATTGATCCCACGAAGATAAGTAATTTGGAAAAAAAACCAGCAATTGCACTGCATGCAATAATACACAATCACACAATAGTGTGGGACAGAGTCAGAATTCTAATAAGCAATATAGGTAGGTGGAGAGAGAGAGAGGTTGATTACTGAATCCTTGTTCATCGAGTCTACACCCAACACATGCAATACGAAGAACTCATCACTCATACGGGAAATATGGAAAACACCACTACCAATCAAGTCAAGAGATGAAAAATGATGAAATTATATAAACGAAGTTGGAAAGTTCTGTGAGTAGTGCCTTGATATGATTATGAGGAGTAATAAATTGTACTCGAAACGTGATCACCAGTAAATATTACTACTGTTTAACACTGTGAGACTTTATCAAAATAAATTTTACCTAGAATGGAATTCCAGACTTATGTTACTTATATTTTCTATCAAGTATTCTTTGTCATAACGTTAAGGCTATATCTAATCGTCCAATGTAATTTACATTTTTATGTTGTTCACGGTCGAGTAGTCTCAAATCGATAAATAATGAACTCATATTACCCCAGTAACATTAGTCGTTCTTACTTTGTTCAATTATTATACTTAACAAAAAAGTCTCGATTCAACTTACTTGTAATCCTAAAATCAATGTTGCCTGACGATGAATAGCAAATATTCCAATGATGCCTAAAGTGATTGAAGCAATCGAGAATAATAAAATCCATATAATGATAGCATAGCTAATTGTAATTTTTTGCAATGAAATGAACATTTTCAACCACATTGGATAACTGATAGCAGATAATACCACTGCGAATATACTTAAACCGATAAATATCAATATAACATTTAATATGATAGATGTAATTTTTAGTCTATGCATTTGTGAACGAAATATTGATCGTCGAAATCGTAAATTATTTAATAACTTTGATGTTCTTTCCATAATGATGGTGTGATGATGATGATGGTGATTTTAACGTTGATATATGTAATTTATTTTCTACAAAAGAGAAATGTTTATTAATTTCTTATTGTTTTTATCAATGGAAATGTTTTGGAAAAAAACAAAGTACAATTATATCTTTCTGTGTTAAAGAAATCACATGAAATGTATATTTTGTCTAAGTGGGAAATGTATTTGTATTCTTATTTGTTTAGATTAATTTGATTGGTTCAGTTTAAGTGTCCTGATACACAGACATATCGTCAACCAATCAAATGAAAGTATGTGGATTACGGGATTGTGTAGGAATTTGAATTAATTTCAGTGTATATTAAGTTATGAATGAACATCAGTTGCAAATCACTGAAAACTACGGAGCACCGGATTCTTCAGCAGTGCACACCCATGACCCTATCAAGGGACAAAATTTGAACTTATGGATCACTGAATTTAGACCCAGCAGGTCAACCAGTTTCATCTCAGGTTTGATTCCCGATGGGGTTATGGGTGCGCGCCGATGAAGAGAGCCAATTTAAGACAAAACTACTATTCAGTACCCCATGGTTTTTATTGATCTCTGTAACTGATGTTGATATGTGACGTAATCTACACTGACATGAGAGTGCACAAAAATTACTCCCAAATTGGGATTTCAAGGGGGATAGGTTGAATTATGTTGAATTATGTTCGGTTAGCTGAATTCAAAGGAAGTCTCGTAATTCAAATACATTTATTGCAGTATTTGTACTAATATTTGATTAAGGTGCTTCAAGAAAATAATCAATTTAGTTCCAGTTAGTGTCATGGGGTTCGAGCAGAAGAAAAGCAAACTCTACTGGTTATATCCATCAAATGGCGGAATCGAATTTCTTTCGGACTTGGTTTCTGTTCATAATGTGCACACAAATTTTCAAAAAATAAACTGTCGGATAAAACAAACTGTCTATTTGACGACTACTTATATTACGCGGTTGGAAGTAATCAGATCTTTGATAGAGTAACCTAGTGGTAGTGTCTCTGAATACAGAACTGGCTAACGTGGATGGTAACTTCGGAAGTAAATGCTTCCATCACACTGTCGTCTTCCTCTTTTCATCTTCATAGTGGTGTCAGCCGTATTTCATTCTGACAATTTTTACGATTATTTTTAAAAAACCATAGAAGATCTGAAAAACAGGGGAGAATAACGGATCCAATAGACAATAACACCTATAAGTTGTATGTCACGCACAGCTTTCTGGTAATGAAACAAACACATGGAGGTATTTTATCCTCGACATCCTTGATTAGATAAAAAATGACACTTACTGACTTACAGAAGGCAAAATAATTTATTTTCTATAGTTGGTTTGTAAGGATTAGTTTTGTTTTTACGAGTTGATCACGGATTGATATCAGTTAGAGAACCATAGAAAGCCAGCAAGAAGTACTGTACAGCTGTTTCATCCTAGTTTGGGAATCATTGGCAGTGCGCACCCACCCAGGACCTTCCAATCTGACCTTGTAACCAGAAGGTCCTAGGTTCGAACCCCAGTAAGTGCGCACTGCCAATGATTCCCAAACTAGGATGAAACAGCTGTACAGTACTTCTTGCTGGCTTTCTATGGTTCTCTAACTGATATCAATCCGTGATCAACTCGTAAAAACGAAATAATTTATATTCGGTTTTACGTGCAGCTCTTATAGTACTCAGAAAATAAAGAAATTTAGACTGAATGTAAATAACATTTTGTCAGACTGTTCAGATTCATTGAGATAAATATTTCCAAACACTTCTTAATTCCTTTACTTTCCAAATAGAACACAGGATTTCAAGCTAGAACTTTGAAGCTGCGGTAGCAGTGGGTTTTTTACGGGGTGGAGTCACTAGCCTTACGCCTAACTTTCCTTTTTTACCACCCTTATAATCAGCTTGGCGAGGATGAGAAATGAGTCGGCCAAGGATCGACCACTCGAACACATGAGTGGCTGGCAAACATTCCATCAGCGAATGACTGACGCACAGAGCGTCCCGAAAGATGGCGAACTATGCTTGTGAGGGTTGGTACCAGAGGAAGGACAGTAGCGATTCTGATGTGCGAATCCTAATTCTAGTTCACCTGTACTTCTTTTACTTTTGAACAACTTATTGATAAGCCAGTTGTTTCTATTCGAAATCTAGCATTTAACTGTTTCAGCCAATTTTACTTTCAGTATAAATATATATGTTGTCTTGAAATACCTTAGTCTTTTAGAGCTATATGTACACACTAGTTCGTCGCCATTGTTTCCATGTCATTTTATTCCTAGTGGTGACTGGATTCCGACAGTTCACTGTGCAGTGTGATCACCAAACTAGAAAACTAGCAATTACTGCGCATTTTGAAATGACACTAACTTCTTACTGGTTAGCATCAATCATCCACCTTCAAAACTACTTTTTTGAGAAATGTTTTTCACAGATAAAATCTCAAACTGATTTTGCTATGTAATCATTACTTAAAAGTTGAAAAACCGTGAGCCACTTAAATCTAATCATGAAATCTAACTTCTCTGTATTCTTTCATTCATATGATCCTGTTTATTTACATTTAAGAAGTATCGATCTTTCGTCTATGTTCCTCAGCATATCACTGACTCATTTCTCGAATTGAATTATTTCCATACAAGGCTTCCAAATGACTGCTACCAGGTGCTTGTTTGTATATTTCATCTTTCCATAGCAGCTACTATATACGTATTATGTGAGACGTTTTTGAATTTCAGATGATAATAATAAATCTAACAGCTAAAAATATTAAAATACAGGAATTACAGACCCAATCTTACAGCGGTGGATAAAGCAAAGAATCTCCTCCTAAATATCATTTTCAGCGGAGAATTTCTTGATGAGCGTCACTTAAACGTATGCTTAATTGTATCCTACATTGTTACTTGCATACTAATTTTAGCCAACAAATACCGGTGTTTGTGCGTGAGTGGATTTTAATTATTATGGCAGTAATTCGTTTATTTAAATGATCATGACTTTTTTTCACTGGACACTAGTTAGTAACTAGTGTAATGTGTCTAGTCCTACTTTTGGTACGGATTGAATCATACCAGTCAAGTTTACAACGTGGCTACCATGCTAGGTGTTTGGCCGTCATGGTGCACTGTGAATTGTCGGAAGCAATCGACAGGGAGCCTCGCTTGACCTACTTTTCGTGCTAGTTGGCACTTACCAGTCATCAAGGCGTATCTGCAACCTTGAAGGAACTCATTTCCCTTCTGAGATTCACTCTGTACCAAATACAGACGTAGACAAATTACACTAGTTGCTAACTGGTGTCAAGTTAAAAATATCCAATATACAGTTCTACAGGAGGTCAACCACGAGTCCAAATAGCTCATTGTTGACGTCTCTGACTGCAGGCGGCACTGTGTGACTTGGGTTCGAATCTCAGAAAAGACATGATTCCCTTCGAGGTCGCAGATACGCTTTGCTGATTGGTGAGTGCCAACTAGCACGAAACCTAGGCCCAAAGCTTCCTGCTGATTGTCTCCAACCACCTGATACCAGTCACGATTTTGACAGGTATGAGGTCTGTAACAGTCGATAACTGTGATTTCACCGGCCTAGAGTTGAATGGTCTCAGCTTCTATAAGTTCATTTAATGTTTATTATTAGTTTTCAGAACAAATTTCTCCAAAGGCGTTAGTATGAAAAGTGTTAGCATCAGCACAAATTCTGTACATTTCAAAAGTATTAACACTTAATTACTATACCGCTTTAATTTTCTACTAAAAGCGCTAAGAGAAAAATCTCTTACAATTACTGATTAATGATATCTAAGAGTTTCGCATTATTTATTTCTCCTGTGTTGTTCGGTTTGACTGTTTGACTGTGTAATAAACAGTAACAATTGGTTATCTACTTCTGATCTTTATTTTCCTCTATAAAGTAACTTTACTTCATAAAAGTAAATATGCACACAATTCAGAGACAATTAAACAAACAAATAGAGTGTTATGTATTATTTTATGATTTCACATAAGTTATTAACTACTAATTACTGTTATCATTGACAGTTTAACGCTTAAATGATAGGCAGTATTTACAGGAAAATATTACTATTGATAAGATCTTGTTTAGATTCGACCACTATTAAATCACATAACATATCGTTAAAAGGATAACAGGATATTAGAAACTGTGAATGAACTGTCAAACATAAAAAAGACTCGATATTGTTTACGATTGATAGATGGTGTCGAACTACTTAAATAATGGATAATTAGTAGTAATAGTAGTTTTAGTAGTTGAAGTTGCAGTAGTCGTATGCAGTTTGTCAGCAAAACATAATTCTCAGAGTGATTTTCATTGTCAAGATTTTACTCCATGTAAAGAATTATTGTGTGTCAATGGCAAAGCTGTAGAACGCTCGCTGATCACGCGTGTGGTCTGGGGTCCGATCCCAGGCTGACGCACTCCTTTACCTCGCTAAACCAGTAACAAGCCTGATAAAGGGGGAAGGTCAAGCATTAGGCTAGCAACCCCATCCTGTAAAAATAAAAAAACCCACTACTACCGAGGACTTCAAAGCTCTACCTTAAAACTCTGTGTTGCATTGGGAACCTAAAGGAATTCAAAAAAAAGAACCATTAGGTGAAATAATAATAGCTGATATATCATTTGAAGCAATATTGTTCTTCCTGACACACACATAGTCAGAAATTCTACATTGTTTTGCCTACATTTCCTTTAAAATATTCAAAGTATTAGGCTGGAACCTCAATGGAAATGCATGTAAATGTATATGAGTGGATAGAAAATAAGATGGTAAAGTGACCTAAGTAGTTTGCCAGTTTTTTAATATCATTTCGACAATCGAGTTGGTGAAGCAACCTCATAATGGTATACGAGCTCGCCTTGTAACCAGAAGATCCTGAGTTCGAGTCCCGGTGGGTGCGTACTGATAAAGAGTCTCAAACTAGGACGAAACAGCTGTCCAGTACTCCAAGGTTTTCCAATGGTTCTCTAACTAATATCACCTAATGATGAAAATCCTGTAACCAACCAAATCCCTACAAACCAACACTTGAACAACCTCATATTGTTAGCTTATGTAACCTGTTTGTTCTAGTTTACAAACTATTTGAGTTGAATTTTCAAGCTATTGGCCTGGAGTTAA